GTGGTCCAAGATCTTGATGTTCTTGGTAGCATGAGCAGCTTGCTCCTCAGAAGGATAAGAGATCTTGGGGATCGGGGGAAGCTCAGGAACCATGTTGCAATCACCAATGGCGAAGATGTGACCGTTACCCCAGAGGGATTGAGAACCATCCTCGTTGACCTTGTAGACCTGCAAGTGCTTGTTGACGTGAATCCATCCTCCGCCACCGGGGCCACGCTTCTTGGGGTCCTTCTCCTTCTTGTCCTCCTCCAAGGGGTTATAGCCAGTCAAGCACTCCTTGGGCATGAACCAGTTGGAAGCCTTAGTGCCGATGCACACGAAAGTGCAGTCAGGCTCGCCAGTGAGCCCGATCTTCTCCCAGAAGCCCTCCTCCTTAGGAGCATACTTCATGCCATAGTAGCACTTGATTCCATGCTCCTTCATGTACTTGTCGCAGTAGCTAGCGGCGTTCTGAGGGAGGGGTCCAAGGCACTTAGGAAGGAAGTCCATGATGGTGAGCTTGAGGTTGGGGAAGTAGTGCTGAAGCTCAGTGACCCACTCGACACCAATGAAACCGGCACCGACGACGAGGACGTTGGCCTTCTTCTTGTTGAGGGCTGCAAGCTTCTCGTGCTCCTCGAAGATATGACGACGGCGACCCTCAATGAAACGCTCATCGATATGCTTCCACTCGGACTCAGCAATAGCACCCTCATTCACAGTAGGGGCCCAGAGAGACTCACCCCACTTCGAGAAGAGACCGAAAGTGCAACCGGCGGCGATGACGCAGTAGTCAAAGGCGACCTCCTCGGTATGATCAGAGAACATAGGCTTGACATGAGCGATCTGCTTCTCACCGTCGAGCTCAGTAACCTCACCCCAGAGGAACTTAATGCCCATAGTGCGCTCAAGAACCGACTGGTAAGTGAATGACAGAGCGTCGTAATGAGCGGGCTTGACATAAGCACGGAGAACACCGGGAGTATACTCGAAGTACTCCTTGGCATCAACAAGGGTGACATCGAA